GGGCAGTTTACCACTCTACTGCAAACCGTCAACTACTAACACCTGCAGGAGTCTCCACATCAAAGATATGTCAAATATTATATAATAATGGGCGTCCAGTGGCTCGGTGGTTAGAGCGGGTGTCCAATGTGCACCCAACCCTCCCTCACACCCAAGTCTGTCCCATCAAATAAAGGCAAAAGCAAAAGAATCTAAAATAAAATAATAGCAATAATTTTCTGCATTAAAATGCCTTAAAATGGCCATGTTATATTTTGGTAAGGTTACATTGTCCCTAATGTTTATGACAATGTTCAAACCCAGAGATCTCTATCACTGTACTCAAGGACACAGTCCGTCTCATTTGGTCGCCTGTCAGTGGCCTCATATCCACTTTGCATAGGCATCTGCCAGAAGGTTTCTTTAATTGACTTTTTGTCTAGTTTGTGGAGTTTTGAGTTGCGGAGTGGACAAATGATCAGTCGATCCGATCAGATCGATGGATGAGAGGAGCAGCTGTTTGTGAGTGAAAACAAACTTAAGACCCAGCGCACTGAAGGTTAAGTTTCACTCTCACGGCGCACCTGATGTATGGGCCACCTCCAAAAACAGTAAATCTGAACATGGCAGTGGATGTTTTCATCTTGTTGACCTGACACAAATAAGTGAATGTGTTGGGAAACCCTGTGAAGTTACCAGTGAGCACAGGAGGAAATGTTAGACAAAAACTCACTTTAGTTGATTCTAAAATCATCGTACCATAATTAGACCATTAGAACAACAAAAAAGAGCCCCTTATTAATTCTGAAAATCTGTTTGGCCAGTAAAGGGGTGAAAATGGCCACCAAAGAATTTTAATTTTTATCATCACCAGCTTCCTCCAGTCAGGATGACAAGCATTCCTCCTCCTCTCCATCCTTTTCCTGTCATCCTCTGTCCATGCACCCATCAGCCACCCTGAGACATCACTTCCACTCCTCCATCCTCCCCCATCACCACCACCTCTCCTCCTCCCCCATCCACCCCCCTCCAATTAACATAATAAAAGCCCGCCTTAATGTTTCCCCCTCCTCCCAAACACACACACACACACACACATCACAGAAGGCATCCACACATACTGACGAGGCTGACATCATTGGAAAACACTGCAATATACTGCATACCAAACACACGCGCACACACACACACACACACACACACACACACACACACACACACACACAGTGTTCCTGTTATAGGGTGTCTTTGGTTCGGTTCCCAGGAGGTTACTCAACAGCCACACTTAAACATCCTCTTCCTCAGCAGAGTGTGTGAGCCTGTTTATACCTGGTGTTAACGTCTTTCAGTGACCTCAACTCTGCCAAGACATATCGCCGTTCACATCTTATCTGTTGTGTCTCCAGCCGACCAGCTTTTGTTACTGCTTACATCACTGATGCAAGAAGGTTTAAGGGCCTTGTGCACAGTTATTAGGTACACACTCTTGCTAGCTGCTCGCTAGTCATGTTAGCGGTTGTGTTGCTACAGCTGGAGATGTGCCCGTCAGCAGGATTCAACACGTTTTCTTTCCACATTGTTGTTGTTGCTTCCCGGCTTGACTGTCCTCCTCACATTTCTTCCGTCCTCCTGCGTGCTGACGTGCAACGTATCCCGCCTCTCATTGGCTGATGCTCTTTGTCAGAGCATGCCAGTTTTCTAGCATGCCAGATATCCAGTTCGAGTCACAGACGAGGGGGCGACTTGCTCGTAGGCTTGTTCACACATGAGGACTCATTGTGGCAGACTATCTGCCGACTCACCTCCGACCCAAGGTGGCTCTCAAGATCCTCTGCGACGTCAAAACAGTGGTGGAAATTGTGTACTGTGAACCAGGCTCAAGCTTAAGTTATCTTTGGGTTGTGGACAAAACAAGACATTTGAGGACGTCATCTTGGGCTTTGGGAAACACTGATTGACAGTTTTTCCCTTTCCTGACATTTACACTTCAGTTCAGTTTTATCTGTAAAGTCCAATATCACAAATCACAGTTTGCCTCAGAGGCTTTACAGCATATGACAAAACTCCCCGAAAAAAATGCTTTAATGGGAAAAAAGTGGTAGAAACCTCAGGAAGAAGGAACTCTAACTATTGGAGACAAAATTCATCATCTCCTGCCCTCATCTGGCACCAGTCTACCTTCAAGCACAGGGACCTTAGACACAACTGTAAGACCTGATGTATGCTCTGCTCCGTGGCTCAGCGTGGTTGTATTTATGTTTTGCCACCAGCAGAGCTGCGAGCAGTCTCTTTCTACATTCACTCCGATGACAGCAAAGATGCTGAGCAGGCAGGGCACACTGAGCATTACTTTCTTCACCACAGAGGTGTTCATTAATACTGCAGCATGTGTTGGTCAGCCGTTAGGTACTGATCGCTGCTCTGCTCGTTAATGTTTGTAGTATTCATGAGATACTTTACGTTCGCCTCGCAAATGTAGTTATCTAGACATTGAATTAAAAAAGAAAAGCTGAATTACAGGTCAACTCGTGTCTGAGCTGTAGTGTGGAGTTTCACCTTTTTAGCTCCTTCAACATCATGTTATTAATAAACATTTAGATAATCAATTATTGACATTTGTGCATCGATGCTGAAAAGCGATGCATCTTAGGATCGATTTTTCCCTCACCCTCAGTTTGAATGTTACTAATACTCACAGTATCTGTTGGTGGACTGTCCAAACAAAGTGTGCCTGACACATTTTGATATTGCTCAACCCTTGATCAGATAGTTTCTGATTAAACTCTAAATTTATTTATTTGTTGTTTTAGACAAAGGTCTTGTGAAGATTCTTTGTTCGCATCAGTCACACTGCCTCGAAAATTTACTCAAACACGAGCACAAATGAAAAGTTTATCCTCCTTATTGACCTGTAACTTATTAAGAGATTTATAATTTGCTGTAAGAACTGATGGAGCTCACTTTGATCTGTGTCAAGACTCTGAGTGTGTTACATCCGTCTTCTCCAACCTTTGCTCCACCTCTGATCTTTATTAACCTCCCCATCTGCTGGCACATACACATACATGTACACACACCCACACGTGTGAACGCGTCAGAGCGTCATCACAGCAGGACTCTGGCAGATGGCTTCTGTTTCCTGCTTCAGCACGCTGCTATGAACTCTGGGGTATTGAGTCCCCTGGGACCAGAGTGTGCTAGCTTCAGCGTGTGTGTTTAAAGAGAGTTTGAGAGATGGAGGCTGGAGAGAAGCGTGCGCCCGCGTCTGTGTATCTATCGCTATTGTGCTCCTATTTGCAGTAATGAGCCTGCGGCCCCATGGGAAACGAAGTCTTTATTATTATTAGTCATTAGCACGTTGACAGCTGGAGGTGTTAATAGCAGCAGGACTCGGCTGTAGCTGCTTATCAGCAGCATCACCATCAGCAGGTCGGCCTCATTGATCAGTTCGGGGGCTGCAGGTCTGATCGCAGCTCTGATGATGAGAGATAACTGTGATCAGCTGAGCCTCGTGGCATCATCCCGACCAATCAGCTCGTCTAGCTCTGCTCTCAAAGTGAAATGAGCCATTTTACGTTTGGGGCAGCTTCAGATGTGCTTTGTTAGATTTCCTCAGTACCAGTTATTTCAATTCAAAGCTCTCCACGAATGCATCCTGTATTATTACTTCATTAGTGTGACTTGTAGATGACTACAGGACATAAAGCTCTAATGTTTAACAGACTGCTTAATTTTTTGGCCTCATACAAATTCAGTTGATTATACTTGACATGAACGTGTCCAGAAAGGCCTGAAATAATGTCTTTAAAAACAGACCTCTTGCAGATTGCCGCAGGAGATCCTTGTTTGCATTATCCTATTAGAAAAGATCTTAGAAAATCCAACCATAATAGACGGAGTATTTGTTCTTTCTGCAGCTGAGGGCTAAGGTCTCTGTTCATCATCATGTCATGACCTTAAGTTACCTTATGTGTCTTGCAAATGAAGCATTTCGCCATAATTACACTGGTATTTCCTTGTAATGGCTGCGGGAGATTGTTTGTGTAATCCTAGATATATATATATGATGATATATGATCAAGCATTTATTCTTTTTCTGTCTTCTGTCTTCCCCCACATCATGGCCGTATGTTAACTCACTTTACTTTACATGCTGTGCAAACGTAGTATTTTGCAGGAATTACACTGGAATTTCCCCAAAATGGCCGCGTTGCATCGTTGTTTGCATAATTTTGAATACACTTATCTAAAATAAACCGTAATAACTTTAAAGATCATTCTTTTTGCACCAGAAAGCTAAGGCTCTGTCTTCCCCCACATCACACCATGACCTCATGTTACTCTATACCATACTGTACGTGCTGTGCAAACGTAGTGTTTTGCAGGAATCACGCCAGAATTTCCCCCAGGTATTTCCCATAATGGCTGCGTTTAATTGTTTGCGTAATCCTGTATATATTCATCTAAAATAAAAACCATTATAACTGGAACATTTATTCTTTCTGCAGCAGAAGGCCAAGGCTTCTGTCTTACGTGTCATCACACTGTACGCTGGTAAAGACATCATTGCGCCACGTTATGTGAGGTGCACCGTTGCACTCTGCTCATAAATGAGCATATCTCAAAAGCTAAATAATCTACGCAGTGCAAATAACTTTTGGAGCATTAAGAAATATTTTGTTTATGTTTCTAAATCCCACACCCAGCCTCCTGCCCACAAGTAGTCAGCATTAATCAGTCACATGAACATTGATATTCAGTATTTTCACCTTCAATTTGGCTGCGTGTCAGAGTCCAGACAGGCTCCTCAGATGTTATCAGTGATGGTGGCTCCTGAGGGAGTTGTAGTTTTTAGGACCCACTCAGACTACAGCTGTGCTCATTCTGATTCACCTCTGTTTTTATCAAAAGGGATCTAACCACTTTAATGTTGAACTCGTTTGTATTTCAGTCAAACCTGAAAATGCAGCAGGATTGAGATGTTCGTTGACCAGTTTTCTCTCTGTTCTGTTTCCTGTCAGATCCTCCCGTCGTCCAACAGTTGAAAAGAACCTACAAATACTTCAAGGACTACAGACAGGTGAGTGGGCGTCAACAAACATCATGTGAACATGAAATAGAATAACGACTGAGGACACACGCTTAGGTTATTTTGGTTTGGTTTGTTTTTTCTCTGGATATTTGGTGACAGATGTGTAGTTGTGTGTGGGTTTTTTCCTCAGGCCCATAACAATATGTTTAGGCTCTTCTTGCTTTATGAAGAAATACACAACTCCCTCAACAGAATTTATTCAGTGACAAAGGTGAATTGTATTAGTTTGCACAATATTTATTATAAAATATACTATGGTAGGAGTTTACAAGGTGGCCCGGACAAGGCTGGATTTTCAAAATAAATGCCCTAGATTGAATCTATTTTGAAATTCGACCTCTCTTCATACTTTAATCTACAGGCTTCTTTTAAGCTTTTAACAGGCCAAAAAGTAATTATATTTCTCCTGAACATTTTTCAATAAACTACTACTTATGCATATTTTCAGCTACAGAAATCATTCAGGTGTCAAAATGTTATGTTCCCTAATATTAATTATCTTTATTTATTATCATCGTTATTTATGAAGCACTTTTCAAAACACAGTTACAAAGTGCTTTACAAGACAACAAATGAAACAAACAAGTCATAAAAACAACCGATAAAAACACTTTGTATGTAAACTGAGGGAATAAAAAACAGTTCAAAGGAACTTAAAACTCATGTAAAATCAGGAAAGGCTCTCTGATATGTCTCTGTATGTTTTAAGAAGGGACTTAAAAGCGATCACTGACTCGGCCGACCTGATTTCCTCGGGCTGATCGTTCCAGAGCCTCGGGGCCCTGACAGCAAACACTCTGTCCCCTTTAGTTTCAGCCTCTGGAACAGACAAAGGACCTCAAAGTACATCCTGGTGTGTATGGTACATAGAGGTTGGAGATTTAGCTGTTAAAGAGACCATGAAGTAATCAGTACAATCTTAAAATATATTTGAAAACATACTGTGAGCCAGTGAAGAGACTAAAACTGGACTGATGTCATCACGTCTCTGGCAGCTGAATTCTGAACAGTCTGGAGTCGATTATTAGATTTTAGATTCAGGCAAGAAAAGAGACGGTTGCAGTGAACTAGACGTGATGAGATGAAGACGTGTAAAATTGTTTCTGTGTCTTTAAAAGTTAAAATGAATCATATTATTGAAATATTTCCAAGATGATAAAGACATGATTGCACAAGCTCTAACTTTAGGCTCATGTTCATCTTCAACTTCTTTTTCTACATTTTTTGCTGCAGTTGAGTTTCTATCTTTTCTAGCAAAGTATTTCAGCTCTTAATCTCTTGGAGTAACACAGTTAAACTTCAAACCCTGCCAGTTTCACAATTCAGTGAAGTTCTGTGTATTTGCACGTTAAGATTCCTGTATTTTTAGTTATGCTTTACAATTTCAGCTGTCAGCATTCACACACATTTTCTGCAAGAAATGCATTTCCTTGTTATTTTTTTGCACATACATGTGTATAAAAAAGACAGTAAGAATCTAAGAAGTTGTAAGACACCTCTCCTATAAAATAATAATCATACAGAAATGATTAGCATCAGATTGCGCACACAGATAGCATGCTCACAGTCAAAATTTCTTGCAAAATTTTCTATGTACACACTTTTATATACTTATTTTTATACTCATAAATACATGAGAAATGATTATTAATAATAAATAAAATATTTTACAAAATAGTTTTAATATCATCAACTGTTTTCAAATGAATTAAAGCGAGCAAATGAATTACAAAATAAAATAGCTGAATGAATTTAAAGAATTTCGGAGTCTTTGGATGAACAACCTCAGTGTCAGCTGACAAGTTTAAATATTATCATTATTGCATCAATGAGCCGTCCCCCACATCAGGACATGCTCTCTGCTTCTTTCACTTTTACTCTTCCGTCACACTCATAGCAAAGATGATTCACAAAAACATTTTTCTTGTGTGCGTTTTTTTAGTAGAATCATCATAATGAATGGTGATGGTCTGAGTAAGACGTTACTGTGGAAACACTGGATGGGAAAACGTAAGAAAAGTGAACCATCATCTTAAAGGAGCTATACCCAGGCTCAGATTAGAGTTTTGGGGTTTTCTGTAGCACCTTAAGGGAAGTTGTGGTGTTGATAAGTTTCATGATTATATTTTCTGTAGCATATCTCAATGTGGGCTTACCCATCTTCCTGTTTGGGTTTTTCAGAGTCGTAATATGAGCTAATTTTGGCTCAGAAGAAAATATCTATCATCTCTTTGATCTTAAGAATTTTCTCAGACTCGCCAACTTCCTCATCTCACTCTGAAGGTGTTGTGAAAAAGAAAGAAAGTATTCTTTACGAGCAGATGTTAATTAGTCTGAAGGGTTCGATTTGAACATGGAGAACAAGACCCTGTATGATGGTCAAATTGAAAGAGCCAAAGATCCCTCTGAGAAACAGTTAAATAAGAACAGAGGAAATCGGCAATTATTGGTTAAAGAAACTGGAAGCCCAACATTAAAATGTTTGCAGGTTCTGGTTTCACTGTTGAGTGCACAATAATGCCTCTAACAAAAATTAACTTAAGCATAGCTCCTCTTCAAACTTCACGTTAGAAACAGAAGTGTCAGGTTAGCACTGCTGGAATATCAGCTGAGCAGACTGACAAACAGCAGTTTATACTAAGGCTGTAATCATCCAAAGACAGTCTTGGTCAACTGAAATTCAACCTACTTTTCAACCCAGCAATTGGTCGATGAGAAAGAAAATGATGCACGTTATCTCTTAGTCTCGCCACCAGACAATCAGAGATCTCCGCCTTCTGATAGTCTGGGGACACTCCTTTCTTAAGTGTGTTTAACACACCGGAGAAAACGGCCGGCAACAAAGCAACACCTCTTGCATTTTTTAAAAGTACACACCCTCCCAGAAATGTGCTCTCCCCCTTTTCTCGTCCGCAAGGAAACAAACACACAAAGAGCTTGAAAATGGATGCCGAGAGATTTAACTCCATTTTATCAAACGTGTGCTCAGTCCACAAGATTGTGGAAATGAAGGACTTACAGCGACTTTGTTTAAAACTTTTAACGCAGTCGGACTATGTTTACGAGCACAAGAGTTCAGCGAGCCACCAAAGGACCGCCCTGCAGATTTACTATTGGTTCTGCAACATAGAGAGTATTTTTAAACTCTGAAATTGTATCAGCCCATCTAAACACAAAAACAGGGAGAAAGACATCAGTCTTTAGTTAAGCAAAGCATCTAAAGACTGACTTGTGAGTCTAGTTATCTCTAGATTATCTAAATCGCCACAATGCACTCTACCTGGTAGCATTGTGTGTCCACCAACAAGATGTTCCGATCAGATGTGAAAGGTGAAATGTGTCTGACTTTGGGTAAAAGGTAAAGACCAATCGTAAAAGGGTCTATAGACATTGCTGCACATAACTGTTAAAAGCTGCAAACTCTCGGCATTGATAGTGCACCCAGAAAAAAAGATGTTTGCATTGCACGTTTAAACGGATACCTTAAAACTAAACATTTCAGCAACGCTGTGGTTAACGTGTGGTTAGGTTAGGGTTACTAAAAGGACATGTTTTGGCTTTAAATACCTAGTTTAAGTGGCGCAATGTAGATGAGTCGCTAACATACAAATGGATTCGTTGACTGTTGGTCTTTGTGGCAGAGGTGCAGAGAAGAAAAGACAAACACACCAAATGATGCCATAAAAATACGTTTGATGTCTAAATTAAATTGTGTTTATCTCTGTAGACAGGATTATTAATCAGACCTCACAGAAGGAAAGGAGAAAAACATCAGTACAACAGCTGATTCTGGTCTTTTGGACAGTGGTGCATGTTCATGGTTAATGTTGATTTAATGTTGATTTATGAAGGCACAGTGTGACCTGCTGTCTGTCTGTGTGTTGATGATGTCAGATGATCATCGAGCCGACGAGCCCGAAACTGCTTCCTGACCCTCTGAGGGAGCCGTACTACCAGCCTCCCTACACTCTGGTACTGGAGCTCACCGACGTACTGCTGCACCCGGAGTGGTCGGTACGTCTCCTCACACGCTCCTCACGCAGGAGTTCTCACCTTGTTTCAGTGGAATCCTCCCTCTCTCTGAACTCTAACCCTCGAAGAAAAAGTCCTCAAAAAAACCCTTCAACATGGAAAAATTGGAAGAATTACCAAATTATTCCTCCACTTTAAAGCCTCCACTTCTATGCTGATGACACACAACTAATCTCAGCATCAAACCGTCCAATCAGCTCGCCCCACAGTCTCTTGTCAACTACCTGCAATGAAATAAATACTTGGATGTTACCAAACTTACTCAGATCTAACAGCAACAAAACAGAGCTTGGGGTTGTGGCCCCAAAGGTTATAGATCTCCTCCTCACTGTGGACGGCTGCTCCATACGCCCCTCCCCGGAAGTCTGTAACCTGGGTGTCATTCAAAACCACAACTAAATGTACTTTCTTCCACCTAAAAAATATTTCCAGGCTGCGGTCACCACACTTTCCAGGGTACCTGACAAGGCCCTGGACAGGCTCCGGTATGTGCCAGGGATCTCACCCGTATCAAGCTCTGGCAGCACATCACCCCCACCCTCATCCAACTTCACTGACTTGTGGTCAACTCCGCCTCCTCGCCTTCAAATGCCTCCATGGTCTAACCCCTCAGTACTTCTCTAACCTCATCCACCTCTGTACCCCGTCCCAGAACCTGTGGGTCTGCTCTCCACTGTCAGCTTTTAACTTTGACAGCTAATTTAGATCTAGTCGTAGTCTTGAGACGAACATGCTCATTAATTTCATCCACATTTTAGTTTGATAAAAGGTCGTTGACGATTAATTTTCGTCATAGTTTTCGTCAGTGAAATTAAGACTGCTAATTGCTGCTTCAGTGACAGAGCATTCAGTATGGCAGCCCCCAAAGTCACATCTCTGGACATTCACAAAAAATAATGGAGATAATCAGTAATGTATATAGAATATGATGTGGTGAAGAAGAAGAGAAAACCAGTTTAAGGCTCACAGATATTAAGAAGAAGAAAGGAATGGAGGTGAAGTTGGGGGTGAATGGGTTTTATGGGAGAGGTGGAGGATATGAAGCGTGTCGGAGGTGTGTCCCACCACCTGTCGACTTGTACTCTTGTCTGCTGAGACGCCCCCCTCCCACACACACACACACACACACACACACACTCGGTCCTCCTACCTGACAGGTGTGCAGCAGCCGTAACTCGACACCTGCCGCCTGTTTAAACAGACAAACACACACACAGAAGTAGCTTCACGTGCCCACCACTTCCTGCCGACACACACACACACACACACACACACACACACACACACACACACACTTTATCCATCATTATCTTTTTCAGCCCACAGTTGACACAAACACAAACCCACTCTGTTTCCAGCTTTCTTCCCTCTTCCTTACAGCCCTGCGTGCACACAAACACACACACACACACACACACACACACACACACACACACACTTCATGTCCTCTGTTCACCTTCCAACCACACACACACACACACACACACACACCTACTCACACACCAACAGTAACTGCTCCAACTGTCACCAACATTTTATAGCAGTAATCACAGCTGCAGATGATCAGCCAGCGTCCTCAGAGTCTGAGCAGAACCGAAAAAAACTCCTGAGTAAAAACATCAGTGTTCACTATTACCACACACACACACACACACACACACACATACACATACAGGTCCGGAGCCCTCAGGTTGTTGATGCTGTGTGTGTTTAACTGGAACAGCAGCAAAGAGGAGGCGTCTGAAGAGGAAAAGGTCTTGAGCAACTAACCAGAACAACAACGGCTGTCCTGCTGTTACACACACACACACACACACACACACAAATACATAGACAGACAGACAGACACATCAAGCTGTGAATGTTGTGTTACATGATAGTTCTTTTATCTTTTTAAGTCATTGATTCAAGCTGCATCGGACCTGTTTTTCCATGATGAAAACGAGGCAATGACGAGCTAAAAATAGATCATGACAATAAAAACTAAGGAGAAATCTGTTTCATTTTTGTTGATGAGATGAGACGTGACAAAAATGTGTCGTGCGGTTAGACTAAGGCATAAAAACCCTAAAATAAAAACCTCTAAAAAGTTATGCCTCTGAAAGAATTGATTATATTGATCGCCTCTTCACTCTGTGTTTCCTCTCAGTTACTGACTGGTGTTTGTGTGTCCAGTTGTCAACAGGTTGGCGATTTAAGAAACGTCCGGGCATCGACTACCTGTTCCAGCAGCTCGCACCGCTCTACGAGATCGTCATCTTCACCGCAGAGACCGGCATGGTGAGGCGCGCACACACACACACACACACACACACGTAGCTGTGTTTATGAGTAAACAAGCCCTCAGAGGTTTCTCTGTCATGCTGATGTGTGCTGACGGCTGTTTGATCAGATCAGATCTGTTGTTCTTTTATCAGCAGCTGCTTCAACGTTGTTTACTGTCGTCAGGAGCAGAAAGCTGCCCCAGGAAACGTACAGCTCCAGAGTCTGAGCTCTAACTTTAGCTGCATTTAGAAAAGTTTATAGAGTCACTGAAGGTACAGTTGATGTAAATCCCACAGAATTCTTTTTTTTACTGCCAATTTCCAAAGAAATTAAACTGCACAAGTTTTAGTTTGACGTTATGCTTAAGTGTTCTTGCTGCCAGTTAGATGACCACTTAATTCAATATGAAGCTGCAGCCAGGTAACCTACGCCCAGTTCAGACCAAAGATAGGAGATCAAAAGCCGTTCTGCAACGTTCTGAAAACCTGCAGGTTCACACCAAGTGACCACGATGAGACGGCGTATCATCTCTAGTCAACAGCTCTCTGTGCTTCTGATCTGTAACGCTGACAGGAAGTGACCACCATGAGACAGCGTATCATCTCTAGTCAACAGCTCTCTGTGCTTCTGATCTGTAACGTTGACAGGAAGTGACCACCACGAGACGGCGTATCATCTCTAGTCAACAGCTCCCTGTGCTTCTGATCTGTAACGTTGACAGGAAGTGACCACCATGAGACGGCGTATCATCTCTAGTCAACAACTCTCTGTACTTCGTTCTGATTTGCAGCTTTTCAGACTTATTTTGTGGCTGAATATAATTTGTAACTTCTTAAAATCTAGGATAGATAGATAGGATAGGATAGTAATAGTGAGATACTGGCTACAGTGATGAAACAAAACCAGCATCAGATGGACTGAATTCATAATCAATACGCCACAATAATATAAATAACCAGCGCCAAACCAGCAAGCAGCAGCGACCCATCGTCTGACACCGGCACACTGTGAGGATGGAAACAGAGGTCTCAGCAGGGACGGAGCACCTGCTCCAGCAAGCCAACACGCCGTCTGCGGCCATTTTGATTTGACCAGCGGACTTCACTACAAGCTGATTGGCTGTTGAAACAGATGACGTGCTTTAAAACCAGCCGCTGGTGATTTGACCAGCTGAATGTCAGGAGACACCCTTGGCCGGCTTGAGTTGAGCTCAGACCACTGGCACTTTTCTCTGTGACGTTCTAAAACAGTTTGGTCTCATGGTGAATCTTTGGTCTGAACTATGGCCTTAGCTCAGCACAAAGAATGGGAGCGGTGAACAGCCACCCTGGCTCACTGCTTAACACGTCAAATCATGTTTGTTTTGTTCCAACACAAAGTGAAGTGTAAAAACAACACGTTATGTGTCAGTTGTTTGTGATAAACAGTAGTTTATTGTTGCTGTTTACATGTGGTCACTTCTACACTCCTGCTGTCTGGTGCTGCTCCGTCCTTTGACATGCAAACAGAGTCGTCTGCTCTGTTTGTGTGTGAAGTGTGTTGACTTGTTTACAGTCATCTGAAGGCACCAAACACACAATTAGACACACAGACACACAGTTAAGTTTCTGTTTGCAGTCCAAACTTGTGTCACTCATTTGAAGTCATTAGTTACTCAAAGGGCTGCAGCCAACAATGTTTGTATTGTCCACGAGTCTACAGATTGTTCTCTGCATTCACTGATGAATCTGTAAACTATTAAATGTATGACAGTGCTTCAATGCTCATCATCATCTCACAGAGCCGAAGGCAAATTTTAACAGTTTAAAACCTAAAAATATGGAGTTCATAGTGACACAGAGACGATTTGGCGTAAACTGAAACACTTCAATTTTTCAATTCAATTGGTGATACAGTGTGTTTACGGTGTGCTATGGCTGACGATGGTGTGTGTGTGTGTGTGTGTGTGTGTGTCCAGACGGCGTATCCTCTGATCGACAGCATCGACCCTCAGGGTTTCGTCATGTATCGTCTCTTCAGAGATGCAACACACTACATGGAGGGGCATCATGTTAAGGTATGATGTGTGTGTGTGTGTTTGTTGTTTGCATAATCCTGTTTATATAGATTTAAAATAAAAACTACTATAATAGCTATAGCCTTCATTCTTTCTGCAGCAGAACGCTGAGGCTTCTGTATTCTGTGTCATCATGTTGTTCACTCAAAATGATGCGCTTCATTGCGTGTGGTGTAAAACACCGCTAAAACCCTCCATGGCGCCAGAGAAATGAATGATGAATCTATCACAAAGCCTTTGCACTCTGTACATATGAATGAGGATGTCTCAAAAACTAAATCATGTACATGGTTTTAATAATGTTTGAGGTGTTTAGAAACATTTTGCTTGTTTTTACATTTAAAAATCTTTTGCATCAATGTTTTGTGATTTATTTCATAAAATCTGATGAAAAAACATCAGACTTTTGTATTTTTTTAATGATGTAATTTCAGTACTTATGTCAGTTATTATGGTTTATAGACTGACATAACCTTTTAGCTTAGGTTGTACAGATTAGAGATATGATGCATTTGAAAATACTCCAAGAGATGAAATCATAAAAAGCAAAAATACCAATGCAGGCAATGGAAGACCATTTCTGTTGCAGAGTTCAAAGGGTTAAACGTCCTGATAGAGGGTTCAGCTTCACTTCCTTTCATCCCAGAGTTAACCATCTGTTTTAGTCTAAAACCTACTTCAACCTGTTAAAACCAAAGATATAAGATATAAAACAAACTTACAGGAGGTCTTTAAGTATTTCATCTTTTATTTTCTGTATATTTGTTACGGCCAGAACACACGAGCGGTGAAAGCTGCATGTCAAAAAATACACCCCTATTATTTTCAAAGTAGAACCCCGCACCAGCAGCAGCGGCTAGACACCCGTTGTCCCGCAGCACTTCGTGCCACTGTCTTGTTTCCAGCCTTGCTGCTCCTAAAATTAAATACATGTTCTTCCAGTCACTCTCTCATCACCATGGATGTATTAAGAGAACTGAGGATGAGGAGAGACTCGTTGTTGAGGTCATGAAATATCCCGAGTTAAAAGACCCACAGTCCTGCCATTATAATGACAACAGCCAAAAAGATATTGCAAGGCGGGTCATAGCTCTGGAGATCGCCCCTTCAGGTGAGAAATTAAATTTGATTTGATTGTCACAGGTTTGTAGTGTTGAATATAGAATATAGAAATACAGGAACAAGCAGCACAGGTCACAAGAAATACAGTCCTAATTGTAACACAAAAAACATGAAGAAAAATAATTAAGATTTTAGAAATATCTGTACGTATATACTGTAAATAAAAATGGAAAATTTTAGATGAGCAAAAATTATATATTTAATCAATATTTTTTTAATTTTTACTCCTTGGATGTTTTGATTTTTAAATCCCAGTTCAACACAACTGTGATCATTAATGATAATAAAATATAAAACCTATGAGCTGCATTAAAACTAGGGATGCACCGAATATTCGGTAACCGAATATATTCGGCCGAATATTGCAAAAAAACACACATTCGGTATTCGGTGGAATAAGTTAAAAGCAAGGCCGAATAATAGTGGTGTGTTTTGATAACGCAATCAAACAGCGTGCAGCGGAGTAAAATGTCGGCAGTGTGGCGATCTGCCCGTCACGGCACTCCCATTTGTGACTAAAAATAGTTTTGAGCGAGCAAAATAGGCTTAAATCATTCAGCACGCTGTGCGAGCAGCCTACAGGTTTCAACCAGCAGCAGAAACAAAAGGCGATTGTGGGTTGAACGGGGGTCACAGACACAGACAGTAATGTATTCCTGTCAAATACGGCGGCCATCGGCTTACCGGCGACGGATAAGTCGGCTCCAATAATTGATCCCTCCTATGTTAATCACTTATTGATGCTGTTTTTGAAGTATGAATAAGTCAATAAGTAATTTATTCTGTTGAAATATCATTGATGTATTATAGAAAAGTGATTTATCTTTTTATAAATGACTAAAGGCACATCTGCCTCATTTTCGCTGTGGTATCATGATACTACTCAGAACCATGATATTTTAATTGGTATCCAATTTTGGTACCGTGACAACACTAATCTGGAGGGTTCATCTGCAAAAACTAATGAAAAACTAAACAATGATATTCGGTATTCGGTATTCGGCCAAGCGTTTAATATTATTCGGCTTTGGCTTCGGCCACAAATTTTCATTTCAGTGCATTCCTAATTAAAACCTCTTGTTTATTACTGAAACCTACTAAAACTTCTTTGCTTCTGAAACTTGTTTTCTGTCTCAGGAATATTTTCTAAATTAAATCCAGAGCTGCTCCGAAGTTTCCAAAATGTTTTTATGAGGTGAATAAACTGGATCAAACACCTGTAAACAGTAACAGGCTGCATTAACCCCCCGTGTCCACTCTCCATAGCTGCCTTCTGCTGCTGCCATTGATTTCTCCTCCTACTCCTCCTCCTCACTACAATAGACCCCCCCCTCCTTCCTTCTCTCCCTCCTCCCCTCTGTCTCCCTCTCAGGCCTCATTAACCTTCAGCCTCCCCCACCTCTCCCCTCTTCCTCCTATCTCACCTCCCTTTCACCCTCCTGCCTTCCTTCCTTTCCTTCTCGCTCATTTCCTTGGCTTCATTTTTTTTACTCCCTCCTCCCTTACATCCCCTCCTCCCCCTCCTCCTCCTCCTCCTCCTCCTTCTCCTCCTCTGTCTCCCTCCAACTGTCATCTCTGGGTTTGTATTGACGAGCAGTCTGGAGGTTATAAGGAGCTGGTTAACCTACTTCCCAGAGAGAAGACACACTTATCATCTCATCTCCATAACGCCAAGACAGAGCTGAATGCAACAGATGCTGAGAGAGAGTTATTAATGCTCCATATGTCCAGAGAAAGTCGGGACATGTTGTTTTATGGATGTGCTTTTTCTGCCATGCACAGTTCCAACCCAAATACACACAATCTGAACACACTGAACAGTTTCAGGGTTTTGTTTTGTGCAAAAAAAAAAATCACTTGCAGTTGAACTACCAACTGCAATAAATATGCAATTCACTGGGCCGACTGCCGGCAACTTTTAAGGTGGAACGTTAACTTGTAATGTTACTCAATGCATGAGTTGATGACGTGAATCCATCAGCACACCTTAAATTTCACTGTGACAACTTTGACCATCACTTTAGTTTTTATATGACACACGCTTTTAGTAATGACTTGGCGGAGCGTCGTTCCTGTGGGCTACAGCAACACTAAACCCCTGAGCTTGCCTGAGAAGGACTAAATGCACAAAGCTGCTATTTTTAAATATCCCATGGAGAGAGACTCTCACTGCAGCCTGTTCTATTTTGTTCTGAAAATGTGGGCGTGCAGCCTCGTTCTGTGGACGATAAACCAGGTGCAGACTGATAAAGGAGGAAATACAGCGAGTGCTGGATGGAGCAGTGAGTGACAACAACCCCGCCCACATTTAAGAGGACTGTCTGAACACACCGAGGGTCTAGGTACCATGTCTGAAGGCTTACTGCTGGTTCCAAAGGTACTGGACTGAAAGGGTTTGGAGGAGATGGGGCTTATCTGGCCAGTGTAAGAGCTGGAGGATGAGAGGGGCCGCGTCCAGTTGCCTCATCCCTCACAGGAGTTCACCGGAGAAGTCCTCTCAGAAATCTTGTATCAACCACCAGCAGCTTAAAGTGTGTCTACAGTAGCATGGACTCCTCCTGAGCCGCAGCGTTGACCCTTCCTCATCCTCTTCTAAACCTGACCAACATGCACCAACATGCAGCTATTGTTTGCTGCCCTGCATCTGAGCGTCAGACGTCTTATTGTTTGTTGGCTGCTGTCAAGAGAAGAAACACAACAGTTGGATTAACTGTCCTCCTTTAAACTTTGTCTTTATTATCCCGGCCTGCTGTCCACGCAGAGTTCACTGTCATGAGGTTTAACAGAGCCTGAGTGTGTGTTCCCCTGTCAACCTCATGTTTACTGTAGACATCTAGAGCTGAAGACTTCAGGAGACAAGTGACACCCATTATTATTCACCAGTGGTTCCACACACACACACACACACACACACACACACACACACAAGCAAGCCCTATTTATCTATAAAATGACACAGCCATTGAGATAACAAATAAATGTGGCTCCTGCCGATAACACCAGATTTGACAAGAGGCATTTTTCATCAGAGAGAGAAGTCGCTGCTTCTCTGATAAGTTTCACACTTGTGTCTAGAAAATATGTCATCGGTGTGTCCTGGCGGTTAACTCGCACCACCTCAGGATGTTAACAAACACAGGCGTGCAGGCTCGCACTGACAAAATCTGTGTGTTTTGACTGAAGTCAGGTGCTTTCACACTTCAGTCTGATTGGTATCGTTCACACTAAGTCCAGTGTTTGGTTTGATTTGTTTGGGCTGGACTGATCATTTCCACTAAAACAAAAAATAAAGAATAATTTTTATTTTTTGTCAACTTTTAGCTACTTTTTGCGGTTGACCTAGATTGGAATATTGTTATGAGATTTCTGTTCTAAGACTCTTTGTCCTCGTGTTGGTTTTGGTCTTTTTTGTTTGTTTGTTTCTGTTTTTGTGATGATGGTAGAGCGATGCTGCTTGCTTGTGTATCACAACCTGTTTGCACTAAACCTCTAGCCTGGAAATCCAGACTCAAATCTAGAATTATTTAGAGTCTGGCCCTCACCGATACAACCTTCCTACCCAAGGGGCGGCACTAACCGAGGCATATTAAATGCCGCCACACGCAATTGGATAGCACAGTAGCCAATCAGAGCAAAAAACAAGGTGACGTATTCATTGCACTAAGCCCCATTTGTTTGCCGAGCAGTGGAGCTAACTGATATATTATGCTTTTGCCGTATGGCGTCGGCAAAACAGCAAAAACGTCCTTCCTGGAAGCGAAGACTTCTAGGGCAGTCTTCTGTTCCTCTCTCAAGGAGAAAGATAAGTGTAGTTGGCTTAGCGTTTCTTCCAAAGCTAAATTGAATGGGCGCGGTCCTTCAGCAGCTGCCATCTTGGCTGTTTACTTTTCGACTCCTACGACGCAGTGCTGTCCTCATCATGTTACGCCCGCCCAGAGCCCGCCTCTGTCAGATAGACTGATCTGACTGGTCCGATAGGCGATTCAGTGGGCTCTGCTCGTTGGAGCCAGATCCCCGCAGTGCAAATTTGAATTTGCTAGGGGCGGGGCATCTGGATTTCCAGGTTACTAAACTCCACTATTAAATACAAAAAAGTGAAGTTTAAAAAAATGAAAATGTTGAATTACTGACATTAAAAATTTGAAAGAAAAGAGAAAAATAAGACACTTGAGAGTAAAATGTCCCCACAGGGAGGGCTGGTGGTTGGTAATAAGATAAAATAAAATACAAGACAATAAACTGATTACATTTCCAGGAGAGTAAAGGCCTTTCTTGATTGATTGTGTCCTGTATTAACAGCATGAAAATGCAATCGTTGCATTCAGTAATGTGTTATAATTGACATGCAAATGAATCGCCCAAATGGACTCAACTCTGTTAATCTGAACTCTAATTCTAATTCTAAGACTAATTCTCCAGTTCAGCAGAAAACAAACACCTTCACTGATTTAATAGATATACAAACACAGTGTGTTATAAATATGAACACAATTTAAAGTGTGAACCAGAGATTAGAGACCTTCATCGGCCTGTGTGTCTTAAAAACAAATCTGAAATATAAATGTAATGTTGCATATCTCCCACCTGAGACTGATCTGATGACCCCACTGGTCCGAACCATTTGAGGTGAAAACGGGGGTGAATGCACTTAAATATAATTATTATACAACTGTGTGTGAGCAGACACTTCACACACACACACACACACACACACACACACACACACACACACACACTGGAGGAAGATGGATGCCTTTTATTCATTGGTTGTGAGGAGGATCGATGAATGTGTCCGCTGGGGTTTATGCGCGCGCGCACACACACACACACACACACACACACACACACACACACACAGTAGATTTTGGGGGGCTGGGCACCAGATGAGCGTGGTGATAGAGACAACGAGCAGCGTCCCTCTCCATCTGGCTCACACACACACACGCTAATAGTCACCAGCTGGAGCTACTGGAGAAAGTGTGTGTGTGTGTGTGTGTGTGTGTGTGTTAATTTGAATATTAAGGATCAGTGAGATAATAAAGTTGCGTATTTGATTAGGACTGAAAAAGGTCAGCGCAGCTCATGTTTGGGTGGAGGAGGAGGAGGAGGAGGAGGAGGAGGAGGAGGAGCTGCGATTCAAACGAACCCAAAGTGTCTTTTTATTTAGTTTTTCTATGATTTTCAACATCAGAATTCTGAAGACTGTATCTGCAGCAGAATAAAGAGGAATGCTCCATCATCAGGTTTTTCTAAACACTGGTACCTGTCTCTCTCTCTCTCTGTATCTCTTGTCTGTCCAGGACGTGTCGTGTCTGAACCGGGACACCAGTAAGGTGATCGTGGTGGACTGTAAGCGGGAGGCGTTCAGCCTGCAGCCCTTCAACGGCATGGCCCTGAAGAAATGGGACGGAAACTCAGATGACCGGACGCTCTACGACCTCGCCAACTTCCTCAAGAGTAAGACACCAAGCAGAGACTCACAGGGCTCCATCGTCTCCGTCTTTTCTCTCCTTTTTTTTTAGGAGTTGTTGCATTTAATTTACTTTTTTACAGATTAAACAAGAGAGGTTTATTTAGTGAGTTTCAGACGTGAGACTGAAATCCATCTTCTTGACCCGCCTCAGAAAGAAAGCAAATAAGTGCATATTCCAAATATTTGAGCCATTTTTGTAAAGTAAATAACACGGGAACTTTGGTACACATAGATTAAGAACTTTTGTCGCTTTCATCACTGATGAACACCCATACCAGCTGGACAATGGCATGCTTCCAGTGTTAAATTATTTCCTGTGGTCGTCTCAGCAGTGGTGGAATAGGTACTCAGATCTTGTACTTAAGAAAGAGCAGCGATACCACAGTGTAGAAATACGACAACTAAACATCATGTGCTGAGTTTTACGTATGTAAAAGTACAAAAGTATTGGTATTAAATAGGGAGGGGCACGAGGACTTGATTTGGACATCAGTATTTGTTCACATATCAAGTTATCGCCACCCATATGTCGACTTGACTTTTTATGCCTCTGCACTGGGGATAGCCGTGGTCGGAGGTATTATGTTTTTCGATTGTCCATTCGTCCGTCCGTCCATTCGTCATTTCCTCAAATTGGGCACAAACATTCACTTGGACTCAACAATGAACTGATTAGACTTTGGTGGTCAAAGGTCAAGGTCACTGTGATCTTGTCTGTTTCATTCTTGTGAACTCTATATCTCAAGAACACCATGAGGGAATTTCTTTCAATTTGACACAAACGTACACTTGAACTGAAGAATAAACTGATTAGCTTTTTGTAGTCAAAGGTCAAGGTTGCTATGACCTTGCATCTTTCTCATTCTCGTGAACGCAGTATCTCAGGAACAGTCTGGGTTAATTTATTCAATTTGGCACAAACATTCACTTGGACTCAACAATGAACTGATTCGATTTTGTTGGTCGAGGGTCAAAGGTCAAGGTCGCTGTGACCTTGCATCCCTCTCATTCTTGTGAACACAACATCTCAAGAACACCTTGAGGGAATTTATTCAGATTTGACACAAACATACACTTGGACTTTAAGAATAAACTGATTAGACTTTGGTGGTCAAAGGTCAAGGTCACTGTGATCTTCTCATTCTCCTGAGCGTGATATCTCAAGAACATCTTGAGGGAGTTTATTCAAATTTGGCACAAACATTCACTTGGACTTAACTATGAACTGATTGTATTTTTGTGGTCAAAGGTCAAGATCACCGTGACACTGTGTTACAAACAGAGAGAATATAAGTTTAAAAAACTATCAACAGAGAAATGACAATAGAGTCATGGATATATACACTGATGTCGTAATAAATTAACATCTGTTAGATTCATCACATGAAAATAACAAAAACATTACGTTTATTGTGTTTTATTAATGTTGTGTCTCTTGTGTGGCAGCCATCGCTCTGAGCGGAGTGGATGACGTACGTTCGGTGTTGGAGAACTACGCTCTGGAGGACGACCCCATCGAGGCCTTCAAACGTAGACAGGCTCAGCTGGCAGTGGTAGGAGAAGAAATCAAACGCACCCTGAGTTTGTTTTGTCTGGATGTTCTTTGATCTGATCTGACTGTCCGTCTGTCCGTCAGGAGGAGGAGCAGCGTCTGGCCGAAATCTCCCAGCAGAAGAAACAGGGACTCTCCCTCGGCTCCATCGCTTCGCGGTTCTGGCGCTCCAAACAGCAGTGAGCCCCGCCCCCTCCCTCACACTTCCACCAATCGCAGCCCGGCTTGCCATCTGCGTCGAGAGGAGGGGCCAGAGGACAGAGAGTGAGAGGGGAGGGAAGTGGGGGTGGACCTGCGTACTGTAGCTGAGTGGACCCTGCATCCAATCATGTCTCAGTGGGCGGGTCTGCGGTGTTTGAACATTGGCCGTCCTCTGCACCAATGAGAGAAGCACTTCCTGTTCTTGTTGGAAGCGGGGGCGTCGGCGGCCCCCTCCCTTTGGTCATCCTGGTGTCACCTGATGCATATCAAGCTGCTGATTGGCTCAAAACAAACAAACAAGAGACAGAGGATCCAGGTCAGGATGAACTCTTGTTGTTGGCGGTTTGGAGGCTGCTCTGAGATCAGCGCTGCTATCGCCACTCCAGCTCTGGTCGGCCCCGCCGCTCGCAGGATCTGACCTGAGATCAGCAGTGCTCTGTCCCGTACCTTCAGAATGTGTATTTAATTTTATTTTCTATTCCTCTGTGTGTGTCAGACTGTGCTGCTGCAGACGGTGTTAAATGAGAAATATTGTTTATAAGAAATAAAGATAAACAATAAGTAGTATTGTTAAGAGTTTATTCGATATGTGCGACTGTCTGGGTGTCCAGCGGTGGTGGCGTGGACGGGCGTTCGCCTCGGCTTGTGGCCACAATGACGACTAACGGCAGCTGAGCTGATGGTGGAGAGCAAGGACGAATGAAAGCTGCAGTCTGATCTCTTCCATCAGTCAAAGGATCAGTCTGGTGTTTCAGATCCCGTCCCATGTCGCATTGTTATGCGTTTCCTATATTCAGTCTTGTGCCCAAAATGGACCATCGCCAGAGTCGAGTCAAACCACACTCCACCGCCTCCAGAGGGTTGAGGTGACATGAAATGGGCTTTGTAGTCATCCAGAGATGATTCTTTGGGGACATGGAGGTCTGTGGACGGAGAATTATTTCCCAACATGACAGATTTGTTCTGTTCTGCCATTTTTTTTTATATCTTTGTTGTCTCCGGCAGTCGAATCTCACTTGCTTTTCTCAGATGAAAGATGATGATGCTCTGAAACTATGGTCCTATGTTGCACAGTGAGAGAAGTTCAAGGTTGGTTGTTGTCACGGTGTTGCGATCAAAGACAGCCTGGGATAAAATTCTGACAGTGACGCACTGATCAGCACGACAATGCTAAATGCTAGTAGATGCTAATAAATACACTCAGAGCTGTCATTGGAAAATGTTGGCCTCTTTTCCACGGCCACGACTGCGTCCACATTCTCCCCCTCCTCTTCTTCTACAGACTGTTCCAACATACATAAGTGCCCCAAGGGCGTGTTTAATTCTTTTGGGGAAATTATAAATGAATCCTCTGGTCGTTAGTCGTGTCGTCTCCCCTCCAAACATCTGAAAAGAGACGGGATCTGAGAGCTCAGCTGCCGTTCGTCTTCATGTGCTTGCTGAAGATTGTGTGACTCATGCTGATGTGAACTCACCATCGACGTCCTCAATAAAGGAAACAAACCAACATGTTGTTAGTGCTTATTTAACGGTCTTGAACGCAGCTTTTTTGTTCTCATAAATTCAGTCTTTTTTGACCGAAGTTAGTTCCTCCTATCAAAGTATAAAACAATGGAATCTGCTACTCAACACGATTGATTCCCAGTCCTCCCAGTTATATAGCTTTAATTACTCCTGACTCCAGTTTTTCCTTCACTGTTTACAACCTTTGAATTTTTTCCCCAGTTCCTCCCTAAAACTGAATTTCCCCTCGTTTAGGATGTTTCCTGAAAACAACTAGATTTTAAAATATTCTTTCACTCAAACCAGATGTTACATAATTTAAATACAGTGGAAATAAAAAGTCGACACGCCTGTTAAAGTGTGAGGTGTTTGTGATGTTAAATCAGACCAAGATGAATCATTTCAAAACTTTGTTTTTACCTTTAATGTGACATGTAGCTGTAAGGTTCAGCTGAAAAACAACCAAATCTTTCAGGGGGAAAATATATAAAAACAAAGAAACAAACTTATAATGACCTGGTTGCGTCAGTGTGCACACCCTCAAACTAATACTTGGTTGAAGCTTTTTGATCGCATTACAGCGTTCAGTCTTTTTGGATCAGAGTCTATCAGCAGGCAGCATCATGGCTTCACAATATTTTCACATCTTCCTGGTAGAAGTGCTCCAACTCTGTCAGACTGCGAGGGCGTCTCCTGTGCACACCCCTCTGCAGGTCACCCCACAGATTCTCAGTGGGATTTAGGTCTGGGCTCCAAAACTTGACGTTCTTTTGTTAACTTGGATGTATGTTTTGGGGGCTGTTAAAATAACACATTCATTTTGATTAATTAATCACAGAAAAATAACATGTTAAAAAAACTGATGAATCTCGCACCGCGGTGCCCTTTGACCTGGTGCGTCATTGAAGGCCACAGTGTCTTTGTCACATGATGGAGGCAGATGCGATGACGCTGCTCAGCCCTGTGAATGGAACATTTACATTTAAGAAATGCCCAGACTGAACTGTTGATAGGAGCACTGTTCTCTGCAGGTTCTGAAGTAAGGAATTTTCGTACGGTCGAAGAACTTCAAACCTGAAATATCACCTCAACACAAAGCATTTAGCAGCGAACTCGGATGTCCAAGCTAGCACAGCCTCTGATGCTAACCCCCAAATTCCACCAGATGCGTGTTGGTTGCGTCTGCGCTCCAGAACGGCAGCGGAGCCGATACGTTTCAATTCTAGTCAATGTGTGTGCTTCCACCGGCTGCTCCGTCACAGCTCATAGAAGTCGTGCACAGAATAAAACATCCAGTTAATTTTCAAAATAAAATACACAGTGTTCACAGCGGATCATATTTCCCTGCACTACACCTTGAAAGTGTCATAATGGGCGGAGGCAGGCCTGAAGTCAACAGGTCAGAGGTTTAAAGAAATCATTTCACCCAGTTGACACCATGGACGAGAAGATGTAAATCATGGAGGTGCACAGAGATGTCTTCCTACTACTCCTCTGGTTTTGTGGTTCTGTTTATAGAAACTACATCTTGTTATATCGCGTGATTATGCGTGAATTCACAAGATCTTGTGGGTCCTCGTGACTCCCGCTGTCCGGCGGAGCTGCACCGCTCTGCACAGCAAACGCAGCCGGTGGGTGTTGACGGATGGCGGAGCACGCAGTGGATAACCAACGCAGCCGTTCCACAACGGACACGCATCCAGTGGAATTCCGCCGTAACGCTAACAGCCAGCCTCGTCAAGCCGCACTCGACCAGGCGTTCAAACTGAATTAGTCTACCTGTGACCGACTAACTAACTCCATTACAAAATTGATCGCAGACCAGTTACAGTGGTCGAGGACACACTGTACAACTGACCCTTCGCTAAGTCCCGCTCCTGGACGCAGCCTGGCCAATCACAACGTAGCATCAGGCTGGCTCAGACCAGGGTCCAACAACAACACAGCAGTGCTCCATTGACTCGAATGCAGTCGTTTCAGATTTCCTTCATTTTCAGGCTGGTTTTGTGGATTTGGAGCTAAATGTTGTGCCTGGGCCACGTCGTGTATTAATGATACTCGTTACCTGGAGAGGTTGGAAAAAGATGTACGTTTCTTCCCTGTCACAAGAAAACTGGCATTTCAACAGGAGTGTGTAGACTTTTTATATCCACTTAAAAAAAAAAAAAGCGGTTTACTTTCTTTGAGTAGTTCAGTACATGGAAACTTTAAATCGTGCGGGTGTAAGCCTTAGTAATATTAGTAATATTCCTTCTGTGTGGAGAACACAAAGGTAAACTGGACTGTAATGTTTGGTTTTCCTCATGTTCACTTCTCTGAGCCTCAGATGGTAAAGAATCAGTGTATGATGAGGTTTAAAGAGAGCGTGTGCAGTTCTTCCATATATTTCCAGAACTTTTAATGGGAGAACAAAAGTTGTAATCAGACCAAACCTCAAATTTTTCACATTCTTTCATTTAAAGTAGAAACCCTGCGGTTCCTTAAAGCCTGTAAATCTGTTTTCTCTCTTGCCCTCTCTGTTGGACTTCACAGCCACCCAGCTTTTTAATCCTGGGAAGGTGTCGGCACAGTTAACACCTCCTAAAGGCAGTGAAAGTCCCCCTGGCCTCATCAGGCTGGTATGGAGAGCAGTCTCTGTCAGCAGGGAATGATGGGAAACAATGGCGGCCCGAGCAGCGGGAGGGTTTCCTTGCCTCCACCAGCAGCAGCTCTGGATCGGCACCAGACAGAAGTTTATTTTGCCAGATGTTGTAGCGTGTTACTGCCAGGAAAAAGAATCGGTTCCGAGAGAAGTGATCAATAAATTCTCATGGCAAATGAAAACTAACGTGAAAATGATCTTGACAAAATTCTGATGGAAGAAATTAAGGGTCCATGTCATTGGTTCGACAGCCCATTAGTCCGACTGTCCGCGGTGCTGAACGGCTCGCGGCGGGTGTATGGTGCGCCGCGACCGGCTTGAGGCGAAGCAGGCTCACGGCTTATGTGTTTGTCACTTTCTTTTTCATTTTAACCCACACCATGATCTTTTCCTGACCCTAACCAAGTGGTTTTTGTGCCTAAACCTAACCAGACCTTAACCACAGGGCATCATGATGATTTCGGAACGGACTTCGTAACAATGAGTTTAATATGGTCGGAACAATGGGCTGTCGAACCAATGGGCAGTTCCCGAAATTAAACTAATGATAATAATGTTGTTTTCCAACCTGATCGCCAGAGAACATGTTGGCATTTAGTGGATACGTTGAAACTTTACATTTCAACATGTGGTGAACATGTGGTTGAGTTTAGGCACACACACACGAGGTTACGGTCAGATAAAGATCAGAGCTGAGTTCCAAATCACAGTCTGTGGCACGACGCATTATGTTTTCAGGTTGGCGATCTGTCTCCTTCTCCTGAACGTGATATCTCATGGTCCAAGGCCCAGCCACCAGACGCTCACTGGCGAACTCCCCGCCCATATCTGGCTCCAGAGGGGGGGCCCAGTGTCCCCATACCGAGCAAGGTCCTCTGTCTCCGAATGTGCTGTTTCATCATGATGTTTTGAACCTCTTGAGATAGAGTTAGGGTGAGGAGCTCAGAGTAGAGCTGCTGCTCCTTCATGCCGAAAGGGGTCAGTTGAGGTGGTTCGGGCATCTGATCAGGATCCTCCTGGACTCCTGGAGGTGTTCCGGGCACGTCCAACTGGTAGGAGGCCCTGGGGCAGACCCAGAACACACTGGAGGGATTATCTATCCCATCTGGCCTGGGAACGCCTTTGGGTCCTCCAGGAGTAGCTGGGAAGTGCTGCTGAGGAGAGGGACGTCTGGCGTACTTTGCCCAGCCTGCTGCCTTCGTGACCCAGCTTCGAATAAGCAGGTGAAAATGATGGATTTTCTTTTTCTTTTCTTCTGTCGTTATTGACCAAAGCAAACAAAACAACACTGAAGAGATGAAAACCGCTCCTTATATTTTGTACAACCATGACACTGAGGATGCTGGGTGGCCACCAGGTCGGGCTAGTGGCTACTTTGCACTTGTAGGCTGCCCTGAGTCCCAGTGAGTAACCAGTGATGTGCACAGACCATCAGGGGGTTAAACGTCCTGGATAAAACCAGTGTAAAAATTGAGTGGAAACTTTTCGCCTCCTCTAAACTTCACATAAAGTGAAAAAACACCAAGAGACCTGCCAAACTCTTTATTGAGAATATATTATAAATATTAAATCGCTCTTACAAGCTCATAAACTGTTAACTGGAAACAAAACAAAGAAGAATCAAATCAAATGGAAGCAGTAACTTTCCTGTTCCTTCAGTCGGAGGTTCGGCCTGCTGCCGAGGTGTAAAGCAAACAGATTAAAGGCTCCACGCACAGTGAATCTTCACTGCAGCTCAGTGTGTGAATCTCTGCAGGGACTGAAGAGAAGCAGCTCAGGATGGTTTCCAGCTGTGTGAGAAGCAGTTTAAATGGAGGCTGATGGAGCTTCAAGATTAGGAATTAGATGCTTCTGTTTGTAGAAGTCTCAGTGTCTTTATAAATCCTGTTTTTACAGATTAGATGTTGGGAGTAGGAGACCACAGGCGAACTCACTTTCTGGATCAAAGAACGGTAAATAAAACCTTATTAGGAGCAGTAAAACTTCACTGTTGGGTGGATATCTCCTGATAGAGTCATGCCAAAGAGTTAAGCTGTTTCATCTGTGGTGATAATCAGAGGCCTGCAGCTTCACCTCAGCGTCAGTGGACTCTGGTGGACCTGAGATCACAGGATAAAAAGTCAACTGCATCAAGCAAATCATGACTGATCTCCACACGCTTCTATCAAAGATCCCAGAGAAGAATGTCCACATACAACTGACCCTTTGCTAAGCCCCGCCCCTTTGTGATGGTCCACCAAGCTGATGGATCGAGCACGGAGCCCACAGTGTCACTGAAGCCCCGTCTCCACCAAACCCTTTCAGTCCAGCACCTTTGGAACCAGCAGTAAGCCTTCAGACATGGTACCTAGACCCTCGGTGTG